GGAGCGGCGCTTTGTCAACCCCATGAGTGCCCCTGTGGTAGCAGCGTCGACAAGTTTGGGCTCCACGGACTTTCATGTAAGAAAAGCGCTGATAGGTTTTCACGACACAGTTTTTTGAACGATGTCATCCGAAGGGCTCTTGTCTCTATAAATGTTCCCTCAGTTTTAGAGCCTTGTGGAATATTTAGAGACGATGGCAGGAGACCCGACGGTATGACATTGGTCCCTTGGGAGAGAGGTAAAGCCCTAGTGTGGGATGCTACTTGCGTAGACACTCTGGCGGCTTCTCATCTCAAGGGTACCTGGTTTATAGCCGGGGCGGCATCAGAGGCAGCTGAACTGAGTAAGTGGCGCAAGTATGAGTCTCTGAGAGATGACTACATATTTGTGCCATTTGCTGTAGAGACTATCGGTCCGTGGGGACCACGTGCGGTGAAGTTCTTAATCCGCGGCTGGTCGTTGCTGCTGGTGATAAAAGGGCTGGTTCTTTTCTCGCTCAAAGGCTAAGTATAGCCATTCAGCGGGGAAACTCAGCGAGCGTTTTTGGCACGATACCTGACCGACGAAATTGCTCCACCTCTATTGTTATTAGTTAATTTATAATTAATTTTTAAATAATTTAAGTATCGAAAATTTAATTTTGCTATAAAATATAAAATATCTACTTTTTAAAATTAAACTGTATGTCAATTAATTGCTCCTTGAATTCTCCAGTAGAATCCGTAATTTTTCTGTCTTTTGCTATTAGTTAATTTATAATTAATTTTGAGATAGAGTGATCCTATTTGAGTAATAGCGCCATCATCAATAGAATGTAGTAATATTCTATAGTTAAAGTCATTTTATCGAACAAAAATTGATTGACTCTCAAGGTGGTACGTAGAATAGATGCCTAATGGCATAAAACCAAAAAAAAGTATTGATGGATGAGTTTTGAAATTATGGATTCTTATGAATAAATTAGACAAACATGTTAATAATATTTTTGTGTTTATGCCATCTAGAGTCTTTTCTACGTACCACCTTGAGAGTCAATCAGTTTTTGTTCAATAAAATGACTTTAACTATAGAATGTTACTACATTCTATTGATAATGGGCTATTATTCAAATAGGATCACTCTATCTCAAAATTAATTATAAATTAACTAATACCAATAGAGAGAAAAATTATGGATTCTACTGGAGCATTTAAGGAGCAATTAATTGTCATTAAATTAAGTATAAATTAACTAATAACAATAGAGCTGGAGCAATTTCGGGTCCTGCTGGAGCATTTATGGAGCAATAAATTGGTAAACAGTTTAGTTAAAAAAAGAATGTTCTGTGCTAACTTCTCTCTGGTGTCACACTGTGTATAAGAAAAAGACCCATACCAACCGTTATCTAAATGGTAAATCGCACCATCATCCATCACAGTTAGCTACCGTGGGAAAATATTTGTTTCAGTGAGCACGAGGGATCTGTGACGCAAACATCTGGCCGCCGAGCTTCAGCACGTCGAGCAAGTATTGCAAGACAACAAGCTTCGGGTCCCGCGCCTCCGTCACAGTGACCGAGTGAAGCCGGCCACAGTCGAGCGTGTGCCTGCTGTACTGACACACAGACTGAGACACAGACAAGGTTGGTTACATCTTGAAACGAGCTTCCATTAAAACATACTTCAAACCGCCGAAGAAGATTAGTCAATTTTTACGATAAGTCAAGTGTCATATCCCTCTACAAGATGCTGGAGTTTACAAGCTGTGAATGTGGTCTCTCTTACATAGGACAAACAACAAGATCTATAAAAACCCGCAAGAAAGAACATATAGCTGACTTGAAGCGTTCCGGGAAGTCTGCAGTGTGTGAACATGTTCAAGATCGTCCTCGCCATTACATTAAATTTGATAGACCACAAATCCTCGCAAAAGAATACCGAGGATGATTCGCGAGGCTATTGAAATTAAATAACATCCAAATCTTAATAGAGACGATGGATGGTTACTGCCATCTGCTTAGGATCCTATAATTAATAAAATTAAATTGAAACCCATGTATACCAATGCAAGACTCCAAGATATTATAAGCTCATTCTGCGTAGGTCGGACCAAAAATCAATATTCAAAAACTGAAGGTAGCCGGGCTAGCTATGACATCGGGACGTCAAGCACCTCAGTACCGCCCGTGATAATGGGTGGTGTAAAGCACCCGAAACGTCGGGAATTAAAAAGTTAAATTAGACGCGATAAAATCCGTAAAAATTAGTTTTAACTAACTGTAATTAACAATTTTATTGGTGCCGGTGGGGCAATGCTAGTAACGCTGCTCATCCCGTGGATATCGCTCAGTTGAGTTGGAAATTTGAAGACTACCACACTACTCTTCAGACGAAAATACAACACCTACATTATTTTTTCGCGTCCAAACAACTTAAAACATAATAATTCGATTGTTTATTTGTGACTTAAAAAGCAACGTTACCACAATGTATCTTTGGAGTACACTGATCACCTTCAGTTGCTAGGGGTTAAGATTTCTCCGAACCACAACTATGGGCGGTTCATAGAGTCCAGAGCCAAAGCAGCCGCGTTAGGGATCGGCGGTACTTCATGCCGGGACAGCTTCTTACCTTATCTAGACGTTCATGGACACCTAGCAGTGTAAGACTCAGTGGAGATACGTGCTAAGAGGTTCATTGGTTTAATAACCTTGATTTGGTTAAAATCAATCTTGTCAGTCTCTCGTGCACAGGCGCAGAATAGTCAGTCTCTCGGTATTCTATAGGACGCATTTCGGAGAGCGTGCGCAGGAATTACATTATTTAATTCCTCTCTCCCCTTTGCACTATCGGACAACCAGGCGGTTAGCGGATCTTCAACCCTTTCTTGTCAGTATTCCACGCATTAGAACCAAACATCTTGCTTCGTCTTTTGTATTGCGTACAGCAAAGGAGTGCAATAATTTTCCGGCGTCTGCCTTTCAGTCCGAACATAATCTGGGCGTCATCAAGGCGAGAGTGAATAAGCTTTTGTTGCGCTAAGACAGTGCGATTTAACATTTAGGGCTTCATCACCACTTACCACTAGGTGAGATGTGGGTTAAGTACTGGCTTATAATTATCAAAAAAAAACACACTTACACAGAATACCAGCGTTAAATATAGCAGCGTAATGCTTCTGTGCTTCGTATGATAAATAAAACGAACCAGGGATCATGTTTACTCATAACTAATACATTGGTAGCCATCTCAGTAACGTAAGTAAGAATACACAACTCAGTCTCATTTTTTTTCTAATACTGGAATATTATAGGCTGATAAAAAGAAGACATTATATTAACAAATTAACAATATTTCTTAGACTTTGGATCTTAGAAGAAATATTAATTTACTACACTTGGGATTTAGTGCTATAACATAAAATGCTTCAATCCGAGTATGTCTTTACGAAATTTAATAACAATTATTCGTACATTTCAGATAATGGCGCATACGATTTCGGGCCTTATTCGGGCGGATCTCCATGAAGGAACTGCCAGATGCGTCAAAACAATTTTCTAAAATAGCCGGCGCTATATAAAAAGTTATGACTAAGCTGAATAGAGATACTCTATAAAATTTAACTTTAGGATTTGCTCTTAAAAAAGGTCAGACTTCACTGCTTATCAAGAAAATAAGGTAATTTTTTTTAATGAAAATGACGAGATTGATATTTATAAAAAACACCGTATTTAATAAAAACAAGAAAAATTAAGTTTAGTAAAGAGGTTTTAGATAAACATGTTTCCAGCTCTGTGAGACTATTGAATCAATTCAATAAACTACTGAGTGTAATCAAAGAGAATATAATCACTACGTTTAAGTGTAATACTGAAGTCATCCTAAGGTATATTTTATGACAAATTTTAGCGTCTTTCTTTACCCTACTTATAATTTTTTGTCTATTCCTTTAATTATTCGTTTTAATAATATTTGCTAAAAGTACTGTTTTACTTTACCACTTGTTCAGAAAAAAGTCTCTGCCCTGGACCTGGTAAGTTATATTTATATTATTGAAAACGTTTTAAATATCATCTTGACTGCGATCAGCACATTCTCAGGTCTCAAGTTAAGAACTGAATACCTTCTTGACTCTCTTTATAATATACTTCCTTAAAAGAATATTGAACTTAGTTAACGATGGACATTGTAGTTTTCCTAGGACTTTATATCAAATTATATCATTTAGTACAGAAAAGAATTACTGTGAAGTCAAATAGATGATACCTACTGGCTGATATTTGACCTTTTCAAAAAATATTTTAATTTTTGTGTACATATTTGAAATCCTCATGAATATATAAAGAAGCCTAAGTTAATACATTTATTTCTTTAAACTTGGTTTTTTTGTAAACAATCGCTAGGTAAGGAATGCATTGAAGGGATGATAGATGATTCATTTCTTCACATATATGTGTGACTGCTGTTAAAATCTAGCCTCTCACACAATTATATTAGGTACTGGCTGTATTTTTATTTTAAGGCTATTAAGCACTTTGGTCAAGCTTGCATAAAACACATCGCAAACTGACCGTTTCATACCCGCCTCGTCTACACCGATGTTCTGTGACACACCCAGGTATCGGTATGATTCAGCCTCGGAAAGGGTCCTTATGTTGATGGGCATAGATAAGTCTATGCCCTCAGAGTTAGCAACCCTTCCCCTTTAAACATGGAGGACCGCACACTTATCCGTCCCCAGCTCAATTCTAATAGAAATACTAAAATCACAAGTGATGTTTAGCAATTCCATAAGATGGGAGCGACTGGAGGCGAATAATTTGAGATCATCAATATAGAAAAGGTGGATCACTTTTGTCCCTCCTTTCCGAAGCTGAAATCCCCTTTCGAAGTCCTCCAGTAAGGTACTGAGAGGGTTCAGATTGGACTCAAACAATCGCCCTGGAAGATACCCCTTCTTATCCTTATGCGGCTTTCCGCATCCGTCATCCACTCACCTAGATGACAAAGGATTGTATTCCACTACCCCATACACTGCTCGAGGAAGTCTCTAACTATACAGTCAACCTTGTACAGCTCGAGGACCCTCTTTAGCCATGTATGGGGCACCGAGTCGAATGTCGTTCTATAGTCTATCCAGGCGGCGGAGAAGTTCCGACGGTTGCGTTTAACCACTTTGCCAATGACCGCGTCAATGAAGAGTGGTTCCTTGGTTCCACGACCACCGCCCCAGCATCTATTTTGAGCACGTGACATCACCTGGTTTGAGTTCAGATGACGAATGATTCTCGCGCTCAAAATGGATGTTAGTGTCTTGTATATGGTAGGTAGTAACGTTATGGGGCGGTATTTGCTCGGGTCTGTGGACTCCCGGTCTTTAGGAACCAAATGAGTGATCCCAGTAGTGAATAGGCTCGGTAGCGACTTTTGGTCGAGAGCCCCTTGAAACTGTCGGGCGAGCACAGCGTGACACACCATGAACCCCTTCAGCCAGTAGTGATGCAGTCCGTCGAGTCCCAGACTTTTCCAGTTCGGGGCCCTACAGACCGCCTCAGCTACGTCATCCGGCGTTATGATGACGGGGTCCATGGGCGTAACATTTGCACACTGACTCGCCACAACTTCCATCCAAGGGCCCTCGCTGTGGTTTACGGGCTCTGACCACAGGCCGCGCCAGAATGCGATAGTGTCGGCCTGATTCGGTGCTGGGCCCGTTCCACGTACCATTGGTCGCTCCAGTGATTATTATTATTATTATTATTATTTGTATTGATAATTAAATTACTTGTTTTAGTTTTTTTTATTATAGTTTTTAATATTGCATATAATAAAATATAAAATATTGTATATTACGTTATGTAAATTAAATATAACATTTATATTTGATAATAAATTTTAAAGGTGTTTTAAATATCAATTTTAACAGTATATTACTAGTTAAGGGACTTCAAATGTCGATTATGAGCTATTTCCACACATCATTTCCTTTAATCTTTTGGAATTTTTAACAAGGAATTTGGTGTGAATAGAAATACGCCAATGCTCAAAACTTTGAGCCTCTCTAGTTTATGTATAGGGAAAATCAGTCTTCCATACACTATGTCTTGGCACCAACTTCAATATGTGAATTTGTTTATACTTTTTTACTTATGAAGTCGGTATTTACTTTTTATTAGAACCTTTTCTTATATACAACCGAATTATGTATGTACCTAATTAGAGCTCATTAATTCAAAGTCATGAACAAAGACGTCTGCCGCCTTGAGGTCACGGGTACTGTTGCCTTGATAAAAACTATCTACACAGGGCTGATGTACGTGAGCTGAATATCGAGCCCACATATTCTCAAATTATTTGAATAGCTAGAATGCGTAAAAAAGAAATGTCAGTATCAATTTTCATAGCTTCTTTTACAGACTCAGCAATAAGTTAGCAAGCACAACATAGATACGCCTCTACCACGTGTATGGTATTATTTATTCTTCATTATTTTTATAGGATAGGGTGACAAACGAGCACACAGTCCACCTGATGGTAAGTGGTTGCTCTGACCCATAGACATCTATCTACATTTATCCTCAATAAAGAATCAAAATGCAGATGTGTTGTCACCCCTGAGGACTTAGATGGAATGCATCTTTTCCAGAAAAATGGGTCTCCAGTTCTCTATACTCACCATACAAAACACAGCAGTGTCAAGCTGCCATTTTACGCTGGTATTCTGTGAGAGCGTGGTGCTTCCCCTGTCGAGCCGACCCATTCGTGCTACAACTATACTACTAAAATAGCTGAAGCATTTCTTCATCTTCTCATCAAGCCGATATCACGCTACATTTGGCAGGTGGTTTGGCGATCGCAGTACCAGGAGTCTAGTACCTTTGACGCTGCAGTCTGTCACCGTTCAGGGTACTTGACGTCTAGAATTGTTGGATAGTTGCACTGAAGGGACGAAATAGGGTAATGGATTTTCTCAGCAACGCTATTTACCTACCTACCACACAGTTTATATTTTAGACGTAGTAGAACCATGCTGCAGCTATAATCTGGCTGCAGTACGAATTTATATGATACAACCCCTAAAGTATAATATGGCTGCAGCACGAATTTATATGAGAAAACCCCTAAAATATAATATGGCTACAGTACGAATTTATAGGAGACAACCCCTAAAGTATAATATAGCTGCAGTACAAATTTATATGAGACAAACCCTGAAGTATAATATGGCTACGGAACGAATTTATATGATACAACCCCTAAAGTATAATATGGCTGCAGCACGAATTTATATGAGACAACCCCTAAAATATAATATGGCTGCAGTACGAATTTATATGAGACAACACCTAAAGTATAATATGGCTGCAGTACGAATTTATATGAGACAACCCCTGAAGTATTATATAGCTGCAGTACAAATTTATATGAGACAAACCCTGAAGTATAATATGGCTGCGGAACGAATTTATATGAGACAAACCCTGAAGTATAATATGGCTGCAGAACGCATTTATATGATACAACCCCTAAAGTATAATATGGCTGCAGCACGAATTTATAGGAGACAACCCCTAAAATATAATATGGCTGCAGTACAAATTTATATGAGACAACCCCTAAAGTATAATATGGCTGCAGTACGAATTTATATGAGATAACCCCTAAAATATAATATGGCTGCAGTACGAATTTATATGAGATAACCCCTGAAGTATTATATAGCTGCAGTACAAATTTATATGAGACAAACCCTGAAGTATAATATGGCTGCAGAACGAATTTATATGATACAACCCCTAAAGTATAATATGGCTGCAGCACGAATTTATATGAGACAACCCCTAAAATATAATATGGCTGCAGTACGAATTTATATGAGACAACCCCTAAAGTATAATATGGCTGCAGTACGAATTTATATGAGATAACCCCTAAAATATAATATAGCTGCAGTACGAATTTATATGAGACAACCCCTGGAGTATTATATAGCTGCAGTACAAATTTATATGAGACAAACCCTGAAGTACAATATGGCTGCAGAACGAACTTATATGATACAACCCCTAAAGTATAATATGGCTGCAGCACGAATTTATATGAGACAACCCCTAAAATATAATATGGCTGCAGTACGAATTTATATGAGACAACCCGTAAAGTATAATATGGCTGCAGTACGAATTTATATGAGACAACCCCTAAAGTATAATATGGCTGCAGTATGAATTTATATGAGACAACCCGTAAAGTATAATATGGCTGCAGTACGAATTTATATGAGATAACCCCTAAAATATAATATAGCTGCAGTACGAATTTATATGAGAAAACCCCTAAAATATAATATGGCTACAGTACGAATTTATAGGAAACAACCCCTAAAGTATAATATAGCTGCAGTACAAATTTATATGAGACAAACCCTGAAGTATAATATGGCTACGGAACGAATTTATATGATACAACCCCTAAAGTATAATATGGCTGCAGCACGAATTTATATGAGACAACCCCTAAAATATAATATGGCTGCAGTACGAATTTATATGAGACAACACCTAAAGTATAATATGGCTGCAGTACGAATTTATATGAGACAACCCCTGAAGTATTATATAGCTGCAGTACAAATTTATATGAGACAAACCCTGAAGTATAATATGGCTGCGGAACGAATTTATATGAGACATACCCTGAAGTATAATATGGCTGCAGAACGAATTTATATGATACAACCCCTAAAGTATAATATGGCTGCAGCACGAATTTATAGGAGACAACCCCTAAAATATAATATGGCTGCAGTACAAATTTATATGAGACAACCCCTAAAGTATAATATGGCTGCAGTACGAATTTATATGAGATAACCCCTAAAATATAATATGGCTGCAGTACGAATTTATATGAGATAACCCCTGAAGTATTATATAGCTGCAGTACAAATTTATATGAGACAAACCCTGAAGTATAATATGGCTGCAGAACGAATTTATATGATACAACCCCTAAAATATAATATGGCTGCAGTACGAATTTATATGAGACAACCCCTAAAGTATAATATGGCTGCAGTACGAATTTATATGAGATAACCCCTAAAATATAATATAGCTGCAGTACGAATTTATATGAGACAACCCCTGGAGTATTATATAGCTGCAGTACAAATTTATATGAGACAAACCCTGAAGTACAATATGGCTGCAGAACGAACTTATATGATACAACCCCTAAAGTATAATATGGCTGCAGCACGAATTTATATGAGACAACCCCTAAAATATAATATGGCTGCAGTACGAATTTATATGAGACAACCCCTAAAGTATAATATGGCTGCAGTACGAATTTATATGAGATAACCCCTAAAATATAATATAGCTGCAGTACGAATTTATATGAGACAACCCCTGGAGTATTATATAGCTGCAGTACAAATTTATATGAGACAAACCCTGAAGTATAATATGGCTGCAGAACGAACTTATATGATACAACCCCTAAAGTATAATATGGCTGCAGCACGAATTTATATGAGACAGCCCCTGAAGTATAATATGGCTGCATCACGAATGGACCGGCTCGACCGGGGAAGAACCACGCTCTCACAGAATACCAGCGTAAAAAAGCAGCTAAATGCTACTGTTTTTCGTATGGTGAGTGTAGAGAACCGAAGACCCTTTTTAATGGAAATGAGGCATTCTATCTGAGTCTTCCGACGGCTTCGTGGTGCAGTGACTCAGCTGCACGTTCGAATGCCGTACGGTACAAGTATTTTTATGGCCAAGAATGGCTTTGGATGTGTAATCCTTGTGCAATTCATGTTTCTGAACTGCCTCTACGATACAAGAGAAAATCCTAGTGTGGGCGTAACTTTTGTAAAAAAAAAACAAGTACTGAGGGGTGAAAACAATCGTCATTTTGATTCTTATAGATGTCTATTTACCATAACATCCACTTACCATCTGGTGGATTATTTGTTCGTTTGTCACCCTTATTCGATAAAAATAGTGAAGGCTTACAGAAATGAAAATGGTCTTTCATTGCTTTACGTATAAGGAATTCCATTAGTACTCAGCGTGCGATTGAAAGCTCGGAACTTCTCTGCGGCATAAAATCCGTAACGAGAATATAAGTAGCAAAACAAGAGGAACTAACATAGTCCAGCGGATAGTTAAGCTGAAGTCACAATGGGCCGGCCATATATCATGAAAAATCCTACAACCGATAGGGAAGAAAGGTTCTCGGGTGGCAGCCTCGTACTGAAAAGTGCAGTGTTAGGTGACCCACCACAATATGGAGTGACGCAGGTGGCTCAGGACCGTACCTTGTGGCAAACTATAAGGTAGGCCTATGTTCAGCATTGGACAATTGGACATGTGATGGGCTGTAGTGATAGTGTGTGTGAATCATACTACCGAATATGGCTATAACTTCTATTACGTATAAAATCTTAAGTTTTTATGAATATTATAAAGTAATAATAATAATACAATTTTAATATTTATGTGACTTTATGCAGCCATAAACCCGCGAAAGGCCACATTAGTCCATCACCAATCTAGTACATGCTATATCTATGT